ATCCATTACACTCATGGGGCGCAGGGAACCTAATCTCCTCACATCTCCCCCTCTCACAGATCAAAGTTATCCATTACACTCATGGGGCAGGGAACCTAATCTCCTCACATCTCCCTCTCACAGATCAAAGTTATCCATTACACTCATGGGGCAGGAACATAATCTCCTCACATCTCCCCTCTCACAGATCAAAGTTATCCATTACACTCATGGGCACCTAATCTCCTCACATCTCCCCTCTCACAGATCAAAGAATCCATTACACTCATGGGGCAGGGGAACCTAATCTCCTCACATCTCCCCTCTCACAGATCAAAGTTATCCATTACACTCATGGGGCAGGGAACCTAATAATCCCCCTCACAGATCAAAGTTATCCATTACACTCATGGATCAGGGAACCTAATCTCCCCTCACATCTCCACTCACAGATCAAAGTTATTCATTAACTCATGGGGCTTAGGAACATAATCTCTCATATCTCCCTCTCACAGATCAAAGTTCTCCTCACATCTCCCCTCTCACAGATCAAAGTTATCCATTACACACATGGGGCACAGGAACCTAATCTCCTCACATCTCCCTCCAACAGATCAAAGTTATCCATTACACTCATGGGGCAGGGGAACCTAATCTCCTCATCTCCCTCTCACAGATCAAAGTTATCCATTACACTCATGGGGCAGCAGGAACCTAATCTCCTCGCATCTCCCCTCTCACAGATCAAAGTTATTCATTACACTCATGGGGCAGGGAACATAATCTCCTCACATCTCCCTCTCCTCTCACAGATCAAAGTTATCCATTACACTCATGGGTAGCAGGGAACCTAATCTCCTCACATCTCCCCTCTCACAGATCAAAGTTATCCATTACACACATGGGGCACAGGGAACCTAATCTCCTCACATCTCCCTCTCACAGATCAAAGTTATCCATTACACTCATGGGGCTTAGGGAACCTAATCTCCTCAAGCATCTCCCTCTCTCACAGATCAAAGTTATTCATTACACTCATGGGGCTAGGGAACATAATCTCCTCACATCTCCCTCTCTCACAGATCAAAGTTATCCATTACACTCATGGGGCGCAGGGAACCTAATCTCCTCACATCTCCCTCTCACAGATCAAAGTTATCCATTACACACATGGGGCACAGGAACCTAATCTCCTCACATCTCCCTCTCACAGATCAAAGTTATCCATTACACTCATGGGGTTAGGGGAACCTAATCTCCTCATCTCTCCTCCCTCTCACAGATCAAAGTTATCCATTACACTCATGGGGCTTGGGAACCCTAATCTCCCTCCTCATCTCCCTCTCACAGATCAAAGTTATCCATTACACTCATGGGGGCAGGGGAACCTAATCTCCTCGCATCTCCCTCTCACAGATCAAAGTTATCCATTACACTCATGGGGCTTAGGGAACCTAATCTCCTCGCATCTCCCTCTCACAGATCAAAGTTATCCATTACACTCATGGGGTCTTCAGGGAACCTAATCTCATCGCATCTCCCCTCTCACAGATCAAAGTTATCCATTACACTCATGGGAGGTGCGGGAACCTAATCTCCTCGCATCTCCCCTCTCACAGATCAAAGTTATCCATTACACTCATGGGGCTCAGGGAACCTAATCTCCTCGCATCTCCCCTCTCACAGATCAAAGTTATTCATTACACTCATGGGGCGCAGGGAACATAATCTCCTCACATCTCCCCTCTCACAGATCAAAGTTATCCATTACACTCATGGGGCGCAGGAACCTAATCTCCTCACATCTCCCCTCTCACAGATCAAAGTTATCCATTACACACATGGGGCACAGGGAACCTAATCTCCTCACATCTCCCCTCTCACAGATCAAAGTTATCCATTACACTCATGGGCTGGGGGACCTAATCTCCTCTGCATCTCCCTCTCACAGATCAAAGTTATCCATTACACTCATGGGGTGCCGGGAACCTAATCTCCTCACATCTCCCCTCCAACAGATCAAAGTTATCCATTACACTCATGGGGCGCAGGGAACCTAATCTCCTCACATCTCCCTCTCACAGATCAAAGTTATCCATTACACTCATGGGGCGCAGGGAACCTAATCTCCTCGCATCTCCCCTCTCACAGATCAAAGTTATCCATTACACTCATGGGGCGCGGGGAACCTAATCTCCTCGCATCTCCCCTCTCACAGATCAAAGTTATCCATTACACTCATGGGGCGCAGGGAACATAATCTCCTCACATCTCCCCTCTCACAGATCAAAGTCCCCCATTACCTTAATGGGACGCAGGGAACCTAATCTCCTCACATCTCCCCTCTCACATCTCCCCTCTCACGGATCAAAGTTATCCATTACACTCATGGGGCGCAGGGAACCTAATCTCCTCAAATCTCCGCTCTCACAGATCAATGTTATCCATTACACTCAAGGGGTGCCGGGAACTTAATCTCCTCACATATCCCCTCTCTAACAGATCAAAGTTATCCATTACACTCATGGGGCGCAGGGCACCTAATCTCCTCACATCTCCCCTCTCACAGATCAAAGTCCCCAATTACGCTAATGGGGTGCAGGGAACCTAATCTCCTCATATCTCCATTCCAAAAGATCAAAGTCCCCATTACACTCATGGGGTGGAGGGACCTAATATCTTCACATCTCCCTCTCACAGATCAAAGTCCTCCATTACGCTCATGTTGCTTAGGGCACCTCATCTCCTCACATCTCCCTCTCACGGATCAAAGTCCTCCATTACACTCAACGGCAGGGGCACGTAATCTCCTCACATCTCCATTCCAACAGATCAAAGTCCTCCATTACGCTCATGTTGCTTGGGGAACCTCATCTCCTCAAATCTCCCCTCCAACAGATCAAAGTTATCCATTACACTCATGCGGTGGAGGGAACCTAATCTCCTCACATCTCCCCCTCACAGATCAAAGTCCTCCATTACGCTCATGTTGTGCAGGGCACCTAATCTCCTCACATCTCCCTCTCACAGATCAAAGTCCTCGATTACACTCAGCGGGCAGGGGAACCTAATCTCCTCACATCTCCATTCCAACAGATGAAAGTCCTCCATTACACTCATGGGGTGCAGGGAACTTAATCTCCTCACATCTCCCCTCTCACAGATCAAAGTTATCCATTACACACATGGGGTGCAGGGCACCTAATCTCCTCACATCTCCATTCCAACAGATCAAAGTCCTCCATTACACTCATGTTGTGCAGGGAATATAATCTCCTCACATCTCCCCTCTCACAGATCAAAGTTATCCATTACACACATGGGGCGCAGGGCACCTAATCTCCTCACATCTCCCCTCCAACAGATCAAAGTCCCCCATTACACTCATGGGGTGGAGAGCACCTAATCTCCTCACATCTCCACTCTCACGGATCAAAGTTATCCATTACACTCAAGGGGCGCAGGGCACCTAATCTCCTCACATCTCCCCTCTCACAGATAAAAGTCCCCCATTACACTAATGGGGTGCAGGGAACCTAATCTCTTCACATCTCCCCTCCAACAGATCAAAGTCCTCCATTACACTCAACGGGCGGAGGGCACCTAATCTCCTCACATCTCCATTCCAACAGATCAAAGTCCTCCATTACACTCATGTTGCGCAGGGAACCTCATCTCCTCAAATCTCCACTCCAACAGATCAAAGTTATCCATTACACTCATTGGGCGCAGGGCACGTAATCTCCTCACATCTCCACTCCAACAGATCAAAGTTATCCATTCGATCATGGGGTGCATGGAACATAATCTCCTCACATCTCCCCTCTCACAGATCAAAGTCCCCATTACACTCATGGGGCGCAGGGAACCTCATCTCCTCAAATCTCCCCTCCAACAGATCAAAGTTATCCATTACACTCATTGGGTGCAGGGCACCTAATCTCCTCACATCTCCATTCCAACAGATCAAAGTCCTCCATTACACTCATGTTGCGCAGGGAACTTAATCTCCTCACATCTCCCCTCCAACAGATCAAAGTTATCCATTACACTCATTGGGCGCAGGGAACCTAATCTCCTCACATCTCCACTCCAACAGATCAAAGTTATCCATTCGATCATGGGGTGCATGGAACATAATCTCCTCACATCTCCCCTCTCACAGATCAAAGTCCCCATTACACTCATGGGGCGCAGGGAACCTCATCTCCTCAAATCTCCCCTCCAACAGATCAAAGTTATCCATTACACTCATTGGGTGCAGGGCACCTAATCTCCTCACATCTCCATTCCAACAGATCAAAGTCCTCCATTACGCTCATGTTGCGCAGGGAACTTAATCTCCTCACATCTCCCCTCCAACAGATCAAAGTTATCCATTACACTCATGGGGTGCATGGAACATAATCTCCTCACATCTCCCCTCTCACAGATCAAAGTCCCCATTACACTCATGGGGCGTAGGGAACCTCATCTCCTCAAATCTCCCCTCCAACAGATCAAAGTTATCCATTACACTCATTGGGTGCAGGAAACCTAATCTAATCACATCTCCACTCCAACAGATCAATGTTATCCATTACACTCATGGGGTGCCGGGAACCTAATCTCCTCACATCTCCCCTCCAACAGATCAAAGTTATCCATTACACTCATGGGGCGCAGGGAACCTAATCTCCTCACATCTCCCCTCCAACAGATCAAAGTTATCCATTACGCTCATGGCATACTGGGAACATAATCTCCTCACATCTCCCCTCCAACAGATCCAAGACCCCATTACACTCATGGGGCCAGGGCACCTAATCTCCTCACATCTTCCCTCCAACAGATCAAAGTTATCCATTACACTCATGGGGTGCCGGGAACATAATCTCCGCACATCACCCCTCCAACAGATCCCCAATTACACTCATGGAGTGCAGGGAATCTCTTGACATGGCCTAGTCACACTACGCATATGTCCTCTTAAAAACTCCCTCAAACATGTGTAAAGAATCAGTGACTTCATGAAATCCTACCTTTTGCAGCATCCCTTAGCTGAAATCAAGAAAAATAAGAAGCATGTACACTTAATATCAAACATGAACAATGATGCAAAATGGTCCCATGAGTTCATAAATCTTTCAGCTATCCTCATTTGAAACCCAGTCTCACAAATGGCCATGATAGGGACATGAATGACCCAGAATTGTGAGTGAGTGAGTTTAGTTTTATGCCGCACCCAGCAATACTCCAGCTATATGGCGGCGGTCTGTAAAAAATCGAGTCTGGACCAGACAATTCAGTGATCAACAGCATGAGCATCGATCTGTGCAATAGGGAACCGATGACATGTGTCAACCAAGTCAGCGAGCCTGACCACCCGATCCCGTGAGTCGCCTCTTACGACAAGCATGGGTTACTGAAGATCAATATTCTAACCCGGACCTTCACGGGTATGTCCGAGAAAAAGAAAAAAGCAGTCAGTGAACAGTGGTGTGCTGTTTAAAAATGTTGAATGTTCACTGTATTCATCTTTTCCTACTTATTAAACTTTGTTCGATAAAGGAAAGATGGATGCCCCTGCTTGTTTATTTCTCATTTAAAAGCAATATTCCAGCTATATGTCATTGTCGTACATATACATGTAGTCAAAACCAGACTAGACAATCCAGTGATTGATACTGTGTAACAGGTGTGGTACAAGGACAACCTATCAAGCAAGTCACTGAACTTGGTCATCAACTTCATTTGGTGACCAGCATTAACACGTAGCATGCTCAGTGCCCTTCCCCCAATTCTAAACAGGTTGCCCCATTTAGAGCTAAGTGGCAATACCTGTTGACTGACTGTTTTTGGGTGAATAAAAAACACTTAATACCGTATATTACCATAGATAAGCCAAATTTTGAGGACCAAAAAAAGCAGTTTGTAGAAAGGGGTTGGCTTATGTATGGGTTACACTTTTGTCAAACCTTTTTTCAGGGGTTAAAAAAACGACGACATATCGCTTCGAGTGAACAAACAAACAAACAAACAAGAGAAGACACCTTTGTCAGTAAAGATGTCAAATTTGCAATTAAATATCACAAGAAAAGATAATTTACCTATTCAGTGCTAATTTGTTTCTGATATGCATTGTCTTATATGCAGGGATTAAGATTACCTTGTGTAATTGTCTCGTATACAGCGTCGGAAATAGCAATCAGCTGTGCAGTGAACATGTTCCCCCTACCGGTGATTTGGTTAAAACGTACCCGATGATATAACAAGATGAATTCTGATGCAGTGATCTAAAGAATATCGTATCTGAAACAATTATCACATAAAAAGACATATATTCTAGTATTGTATCATTTTAATGGCTCTATAAATGTAAAATATTTATAATCATAACTAAGGTTATGCAACAGCTTTCTGGTCTATTGGTGTGGTTTTGGCGTGATCTTGCTATTTCCACCTCGAAAACAGTTTGTTGAAATGTGATAGTATCTGAAACAATAACCGTCTCGTTGTTGATACCAACAGTGATCGTTATGATATTAAAAATAAAACAAACACAGGTTCCCACATTAGGGGTCAGTAAAATCTTTATTAGATACTATTCTCACCACATGCTTCCGTTTTACATCCAAGATAACTGCCAGTTGTCTTGTAGTCTGACTTGGCCGTTATTAGGACCCCATTGTAGGGGGTCAGCTTATGTACAAAACATACCATTCTGAGACTCATTTTAAGGGTCAAGTTAGGGGGTCGGCTTATCTATGGTAATATATGGCAATTAGTACTCCCACTTTCCTGGGCTGTCTTAATACTCGCCCCTTTTGATTTTATTTAGCTAAGATCCTGGGGTGCTAAACATGTCCAACACAGTAATATCAAACAAAGGAACTCACAGCCTTGCAGTTAGATGCCACAAATACGTTAATCACGCTTTGTCCATAATTGTGGGTCGCGTTCAGACATTTGACAGCATCTTCATAATTGGTGTAGGAAATGAAGCCATACTTAGTACTGGTCCTGAAAGATATAAACAAGAGTCATCAGAAGATGACATATCCCCCCGGCCCCCACATATTTGAAAAAACAAATTATCTGACAGTTACTTGACTTTTTTTAAGTCCAAATCGTTTCATGGAAATCATGAGAAATATAAATGCCAACAAGAAGACAAAGTCATCAATGTCCCCCGCAATGGCAAAATACTCTTCATGATTATGTCTACGAGTTATGATTATGTCAAATATTTAGGTGTGTATGTAGAAAAGTGGAAGGAGAGTATTGAAAGCTTTTTAAAGTTCTGCTCCAGAAAGGAGCGCTATCACCAATTTCAGTCTATGTCAAACTTGTTGCCATGGAAATGCCAAAAATATTTTATTCAGAAATTAAAAAACTACCAAAAGGCACCAGTACACCACCAGATCTATCTATGTGCCAAGTTTGGTGAAGAAACATTGAACGGTTTTAGAGTTCTGCTCTGGAAAAGTGCACTACCACTAATTTCTGTTTTAGTCAAACTTGTTGCCATGGAAACGCCATAAATATTTTATTCAGAATTCCAAAACTACCAAAAAGGAACCAGTACACCACCAGACCAATCTATGTGTCAAGTTTGGTGATGAAATATTGAACAGTTTTAAAGTTCAGCTCCGGAAAAGAGCACTACCACCAAAGTCAAACTTGTTGTCATGGAAATGCCAAAAATATTTTATTCAGAATTCCAAAACTACCAAAAGGCACCAGTACACCACCAGATCTATCTATGTGCCAAGTTTGGTGAAGAAATATTGAACCGTTTTAGAGTTCTGCTCTGGAAAAGAGCACTACCACCAATTTCAGTCTAAGTCAAACTTGTTGCCATGGAAAATCTAAAAATATTTTATTCACAATTCCAAAACTACCAAAAGGCACCAGTACACCACCAGATCTATCTATGTGCCAAGTTTGGTGAAGAAATAGTGAACAGTTTTAGAATTCTGCTCAGGAAAAGACAAATGTGCACGGACGAACGGACGCACGCACGGACGGGGGATAAAAATCTGTAAATAGCAAAAGGCACCGTTTCAAAATTTGCCTAAAATATCTGCCAAGTTCTGTTGGAAGATACTAATCATTTCCATGGAAACTGGGAAAAATGAAAATGCCAAAATCTGCAAATAGCAAAAAGCACCACTTAAGGATCTCTTTAACCCCCTGGCTGCCGAGTTTTTTTTCAGGCGCACATTTTCATACGCTTTGAAAAGTGAACGTTGTGCGAGAATTGCGCTCGCGTGGTCCTGGATCTACGTACGGCTATAAAATTACACAGAAATGAAGAATATTAAATTTCCAATCCGTTGGAATAAATATAAGTGCAACTTCCTTGGCGGTTTGAGAAATAGACCTTGCTAAATGATGTCCAAATTTTTGTTATGCGTTAAAAAACAGTAAATGTCTCCGCTTTTTATCGCGCACCCATAAAAGCACAGTGCTACGAATTTTTTCATGGGGCATCTTTACGGAAAGTGTGAGCGAAGAAAATACAGCCTGATATCTGAACGACGTAAGTGTATATGAAATGGGTTTATGTGCTTGTGCATAACGTAATACGCTCAACATTAAAAATGACTCGCAATAAATGTCAAAAATGTATTTTATTCTATGACGTCAAACGACGACAGGGAGTCATACAGGTATAATGATAAGGGGGCATAACGGAGTTATGTGTAACACTAGGTCAATGTAACCCAGATCACTTGGAGAGAATTTGTTGTGGATACGGACGCTATATTTTCGTTATTTTATATTCATGGTGAACAACACTATTCCAATTCAAAGTTCCCCAATGTGAACGGATGCTTTGGTAGTTTCACAATTTATAAGAAAAGATGACAACGCACTACATGTGACAGCACCTAATAGCTATTTGAATGGCCCTATCCGATATATAAGTTAGTTCTTAGATTCCCACATTCTCCTGTTTGTGTAGATGTAATTTGGCTAATTTTGCATCGTTATTACCAGAGTACTAGCCATATCTTCAAATGTAAATCGAAATTGCTGAAAATAATACAACATTTTAGTTGACGTCATCGCTTGTTTTATGCATTTTATGCGACGCCGGGAAAAAGACGACATTGGTATGCTGATTAGTATATATCTCACTTAATTTCCATCAATTGTATAAAAGGTCTAGACTTCTATGTCAGAATTTAACACTCTTTAGACAAAATATAAAATGACTGATTTTTCCATTTAAATAGTGTCCTGAATATATCAACAATTAGACGGTTTGACAGTGTATCTTATAGTGAACAACACGCACCTGTGTTTGGCATCAATTTAACGTAAATAAAAATAATATTTCACAACACCCGAATATTTTGTTTTGGATAAGAATTTTGTTTGTTTATGATTATGAAGCTATTTCTCTTCATAATGTATGCAATGAAAGATGCAAAAGATAGCTTTTCATATATGGAACTATATATTAGAATATGGATATAAGATTTGTTCGAATTAACACATGAGATGGTATATATATTTTTTCAACAATTTTCCTATAAGTAGTTAGAGTTTGATATCCTGTCATCACAATATTCTTTAATCGAATATGAATTGAATATATTATCGAAAACAATGATAGCTAATCATAAAACGTTTCCAACAAACGCCAAGACCTTGCCGATCTATATGCATCATTCTTTTGTCTATAAAAAGCGACACAAAATTATGCAATGAACAAGACGATTCCTTTAAATATGTGTGCATATACATTTCATACCATATATAAATCATTGTCATTAATATTATCAGTTTTGCATATAAGGTTGAATTATATCACCGCTTCATTAACCTGTTCATATGAAATTGCAATATTAGTCCAAATAAATTGAATATTGTACATCATAGGAACTAAAGTAGTTGCAGTTATGGCTACGTTTGATCTTCTAACACTTGTGTAAAGGTTTAGAATATGGTGTATTGCACTAAATATGTCAATTTCTTATGTAAATATGATTCAAACAATCAAAAACTTTCAAAGAATAAAACACCGTAAACCCTATATGCACGTATGATATGATATTGAACAAGGCTAAATGTAGATACTGAAGTCAGTTTCATGAAAAAGTATCCTAACTATCCATAAAATATACATCATAATACTGACAGTGTAATTGGAAGGATATGGCGATTGTGTTTACTCTTGTTCAACCGACCTTCACCTCAAAGAAATTGCCTAATATGTAGAACAATGTTGACGATGACATCACTACCGCTGACCGATTTCTTACAAAATGGCGGCTTTGCTGACAAGGGTACACAGGATTTTATGAGGACACTTCCACTGATTCAGGGATCGCTTGTACATAAATATGAGATGTAAGTAATCAGAATGATTCTGACTATCTGTGTATTGTTATATGTTTTATCGTTTTCACTATCGTAAGAGAAAAGGACAGAAATGCAGATAATTACTGTTGTCGCTTCTCGCGATGATTTGGCGTCAGTCATGGCGTCCACTGCACGAAAACTTTGACAATTTCTTATGAATTATCAAATCATTGCATGGTATCTATTTATAATTTCCTATTTCTTGCTACGATACTCTTTCCATGTATATTCTAAAGGTATTGAGCCATTGCAAGCAATGAATAGACGGATGAATGTTGAAAAATTTCAGAAAATGCTACGCGCAGTGTAAAATCGAATTTGTCTTTGTTTACATTTCACACAAATGCAGTCTTTCAAGCACAGCGTTCGTTTTCACACCCAATATGTTTCGTCTCATTTTATCTAGACAGTTATTATTGGTGACACAGACTAGTTTCATATTGATTCTAAAATGTATGGGGAATTCAGTGATGCATTTTTCGAAGCTGAATATGAAATCTACGTGATGTAATAGGCGCTCAATACCGGCCTTCGAAACGCGATTTTGTAAACACTATCCAATATGGCGGAAAGCGCTCTACGGTGTTCATGTAAGTGCAGTTTCGAAAACATCCCAACCGATTCTAGATTCATCGATAACGTTTCAGAATTATAATTAGCGAAATCATGTAAAACTGATATCAGTGATCATAAATATGTTATTTTTGAAATTCAATACTCACAGTAATTATCCGATTTTCACATTTCAAAACATACAGCAAATAACGCTGTGAATCGCGATTTCATACTGTGTCAAAAATGTCGCCATTTTCGATGAAGCCTATTTTGAAAGGTCATTTTCAGCACTTGAGCTTTGTCTAAAATAATAGTGGATAGTATCAAGAAACAGGTAATTTCCCGCAGAATTCGAAACTGTGAAGTGTATTTGTGTGCGTGGGATACTTTGATTTTTATTCGACTTCAAATTGAGTGTTGAAGGGGAAGGACATATATGTCCCTGTGGCATCCAGGGGGTTAATATACCTACCAAGTTTTGTTGAAAAATATTGAACGTTTTTTTAGTTATGATCTGGAAACAAAATGATCATGGACAGACGGACGAGGCATCGACTATATCCCCCCGCATTACATGCCGGGGGGTAATAAATTGAAAGGGGTTTACATTCAAGATCACTGCACTCATATAGCGATGTTTATGAACATGTGTGTAAGGCTGCTAATAAAAGTACTGAAAAGAAGATGAAGTAGTCTCCGGTAGTTTGTCTAAGTATCTACTGGCAGTTTGGTATTTACATACAGGCATTGCAAGGCAAGACAAACAAAGGCACACTGTCAACAACATGGACAGTACCAGGGCTTGACATTCACCCAAATTCCTGAACAAGACCACAGGACCAGTAACTTTTAAAAATCACTGGTCCTTACAGATTCTTACTGGTCCTGCTAAGGGACTCTTAATGTCAAATTCAAATTTGCACATGCTTTGTATAATTTTATCCTGAAAATGACAGAACTAAATCTCCCTGCTCATAAGACTTTATTCAATCAGAATCAAAATCAGAATTTTCAGAAAACATTTTTGAATATTTTACTGATTTAAAAAATTTAAAACCCTCATCAAAAGCTCAAAACCTGTACAATTTTATCGACAGCCTTAAACATCTACTACACCGTCGGGATAGCACTTTTCAAAGTTGCACTGGTCCTGTCAACATTTTACTAGACCCAGGCCAGTAGGATAGCATGAATATCGAGCCCTGAGTACATGGTTACATAAATAAGTACAGCCAAAAGTACGAAATCAGGTCTTACGATTCGGGTGCATATAATTGCCAACGAAATGGCAGATAAACGAAATTACACCCATGGCATGTACACAACATTGGCAACAGGGGAAAAGCCATACTATTCTTATAATAATTGAATAGCATTTATTTCATTACTTTCTAACAAGTACAGGCTATCACTGGTTTTACAGTGTTAACACCTTAAGAACCACGCAAGCCGAGCCAATTTACATTAATTGTATCAGAGGGGTACAAAAAGAACCTGATTGAGACTACTGGTTGACAGAGTACAAGGCCTTAACAAGAAACATGGGTTCCTGGTCATCCACTTTTACCATGTCCGTTGTCAGTGTCTATGAACATAACCTGGTACGATGAACCATCTTACCTCTTAGCATGTTCGGTTACATAACAACTCAAAATGTTTCCCCACTGGGAGAAGTATTCGCACAGGTCCTCCTCAGACACATGAAGAGGTATGTTAGGCACATACAACTTGTGCTTCTCTAAGGACTACAACAGAGAAAAATGGAGCTTAACATTTACAAAGGCAGTCAATGAGTTAATATTTGTCATCACATCAGCAACCAGCATTGTCTCAGCTGTATAGTGACGAACAGATTTTGTTATTTTTTTCAGATTAAAACTATCAGGACTTGTTCACTCACTGTTCAATGCCACACTCAGCAGTATTCCAGCTACACAAAAGCAGTTCGTAAATTAGTGAGTCTGGACCAAACAATCTAGTGACTGATATCATGAACACTGACCTCAACAATTAGGAAACAATGACATGCTGGTCACATATTCTGACCATCCATTCAAGTTGTCACCTCATATTACAACACTCTGTGTTAACTTTTTCTAAGTTGCATAATACATTCCAACTTTCACTTCCCCTAAGATCTTTATTTTGTGCTACAGAGAGATAAGGTTTTAATGAGACTGGACAGTATTTCAGTCATAACATAGCATCTAAGCTTTACACTGGTGGAAAGCTGAAGTTGTCAGTGAAATTACCACTTTGTTGAAACATGTACTAGAGAGAATAAATACCATCTTTGTTTCATAGAAATACATACCTTTATAACAGTCGAAATCTTTTTGGGATCTGAAAAACAGAAAGTTGCTGTCAGGCGATATACAGTATTTGAAATGTCACACAATCAAAATAAGCAAAAGAGTCGTCTCATTTCTAATCGACCAAAATTTGGGGATTGTCCCAGTTTATATCTCTGATTTAGGATTTTTTATTGCAATAAATGCTACTGTAAGTTGACACAAGGTAAACACTGTAATTTCGGTCATACTTTCATTCTTCTGTGATTGGCATGATGTTTTAGACCAAAGGTGTCACCAAATGTGACAGATTTTTATCAGAAAAAAACTTAGTTTCCTCGGCCATACTTTACACCTTGGCCAGTGAGATGACTTATCTACTTATAAATTTTAAAAAAATAAAAAATTGATATTTAGAAGTTGAAATGATATGCCAATATATGTACAATTTTCATAGCAAAATGTAACATTTCGGGATTTTAACGCTTTTTCATTCATTTATATGCAAAATGTAAACAATGCATAATTTATCTACCCACTGTTTGAAAAAGTGCCAAAAAAGTTTGATATTTAACGCTATATTTAGAAAAAGGCCAACCCGCCAGATGCTTAATTTTGTGCAAACATGTAGAAGATAGTCTTAGCCATATATTATATAATATGGTGGTGCGGTCTACAAGGCTGACAGGGTAGTTGTTGTAGGTCTTAAAGACATGGCGCAGATGTTGAAGTTCAGCTTCGAGTTGTTGTGATGTGGAGCTGATGTTTTTGGCACGTCGGGTTAGTGTAGCTATTATTCCTCTCTTGACTTGTGGGGGATGGTTAGATGAGTGGTGAAGGTACTGATCAGTATGGGTGGGTTTACGGTAGATTGGCGATGTCTGTAGGGCTCTCTTCTAGGTCTGTCATATATATCTCTGTGATGATGGGTGAGAGGGGTGATCCCATGGGGAGTCCGTGGGTTTGTTGCAGGATCTTGTCTTGCCAGGTGAAATAGGTTGAACTGATGCAGGAGTTGATGAGTCGGATGATGCTGTCAGGGGTGAGGTGGGTTTCTAAGGTTTCATGGATTTCCTCTATCCTACTTCTAATGATGGCTAGGGCTTGTTCTCTGGGAACATTAGTGAAGAGGTCAACTACATCGTAGCTGACAAGGTGGCCTGGTTTGTTGATGGTGCTGATCTTCTTACAAAAATCAGTGGAATCTGTGATGAATGACTTGGCAGATTTTCCAAGGGGGGCTAAGAGGCGGGCAAGGTGCTGGGCAGTATTGTAATGGACTGTAACGGACAAGTTAAATTTAGTTGTTGCTGAAATTCTCAAAACCTGACTCACTTCCAGTATGGCTACGAGGCCAGTAGGACGCTTCTGAGTTTGTTCTCGCCCATCATCCCCACCGATCTCAACCCAAAACCCAGGAAAAGATACTAAGGTAAGATAATTTCTATTTACTTTAATATTAACAGAATATGAGGCCTGTTGACTTTCATCAGACACCATATTAACATATTCCAATTCTTACGTACGGACGGATGGAGTCTAATACTTTATCCCCCGATTAAAGCTAAATGCGCGGCGGGGGATAAATATAAGTGGTAACCAGCTGTGAAACATTAAGCATTACAAATCAATCATCACTCTTCACCAAGGATTTTAATTTATTGCATAAATTTTTAAATGTAATTCAAATTGTTCTGAAGTGAGACTATAAATTTAGCATATATGTAATATGAACGCAAAATTTATTAAATCATCCCTAATTCCATGTGAAACTATAATTGATATTATAGTTTAGTATATAATATGATACATATGCATCATGCATCATATTTTGTCACAATAAGAAAAGCATGAATGTTCTTTTGAAACAAATTTTGTCACGCCCATTTCCGCGTACCTTTTGTTGAGGCTGATGTTTGTAAACGTTGCGTCGGACAAAGTGAAAAAAAACAAACACAAAAAAACAGCATCAACATGCCTCAAAATTATGTTTCTTTTCTGCATATTCAGTGCAGAATAAAAGTGGTTATCCTCATATCAACAATAAAAGATACTGAGAAACTGAGTGTTGATCGAGTACTGTTTCCGGTCACGGGAGTATACAAGGTAAAACTGTTTCCGTGATTATATAGTGAAAAACAACATTTTTTTTCCTATGAGCTACGATTAATCATTCTAAATAGTGGTTTGACTTAAATTTGGGTTTGCCAGATGAAATATTTCCAAATTTACTGTTAGTATTCAATGACGAAAGATTTTTACCAGACAACCCCTGTCTGTGACATCACATCACATTAGATTTCGCGATCTTAATTTTCATTTCTCTCTTATCATATTAAGCTCAAAATGATAAATGAAACACGTGTAGAATGAGAAATTCTTCAACTTTCGCCAGGGCATATACACGAAAGTCCTGTAAACTTTGTTCTTATCAAAACAGCAATATTTTATGTTGGGGTTGACAAAGCATGCCATGTTTGTTTTTCTTACGTGAAACACGGTGCAACACTGGTTTTCAGGGGGCTTGTGTCGAAAATAATGAACTATAACACTTGAAATTAGGACACGTGAATATTCATAAATGATATATTTTATTCTGCAATTTTCATGACATGATACGTTGGAATAAAAGTAATAGTGCCATTTGAAGATAATACATGATGACATCGAAAATACAATTTGTTTACGACGAACGTTTCTGATTATTATTTTTCAGAAATGTTTTTTAATTTATCGTCACGCTGATGATTGCCGATACAAATATACGAATTTAAAGTCAGGTAATTATGAGACATCGGAAATAAGAATATTGAAATTGGTTTGCGCTATTTTAACGATTTATTCAGGTTCTTATATAAAACGCATTCTACTGTCAATCAAGTAATTTTGGTAAATTCAGAAATATTTACATTATTTATGTTTGCCTTGTCATTAACCTCTGTATGTTTGAAATTATCAGGACATTTTTAGATAATAATGTAATTTTCTGAATAAAATTGATATTGTATACTTTTCCTGACTCATGTATTATTGCTTGTCTCCTTCCTCTTGCAAACGTTAGTGGAACACTTGTATCTCCTATTGAATCTCCCTTCAATAAAAAACACGTAAAATCACTACTCACCAAGAGTTATCTGTCTGGCCGTTTTGGTGGGAAAGCGGCACCACCATACTCCCATGCTTCACTCTCTCCAAATTATGAGCCAGACACTTTAATTTACAGGGAAATCCAAATTGTCTAGTGGGGAGGTTGGGAGGGCTTACCTCATGAGTCAGGATAAGTATAAAATATCAATTTTACTCAGAAAATTACATATTTTTCCTTATCCTGACTCATGTATTATTGCTTGTAGAATCCGTCGGATTTGGTGGTGGGTCAAGCCACTTCTGGATTCCATGTAGTGATTTACGTCTTCCATACCCCCCTATGGGAACTTCCTGGTAGCACTTCTTTTACTGCTAGGCTCTGCTGCTGCTGTAACCCTTCACTTCCAGCTTTCTCTGATGGGGGGACCACAATTGTTAACTTTTGGTCCTTGCTTCTGTTAACATTTTATGTGGATTTTGCAACTCCATCTCTTGATGCGAGCATCAAGTGGAGAAGCGACCCTTTCCTGTACGAGTATGTCCTTACAAGTACTGGGTCATATCACTTATGCTAGTCTGTCCTAGACGTGCATATAGACTCTAAAGCTGAACTCTCCTGAGTGTTGGCTTTTGCAAGTCATGTGATAAAAGGGCGAGACTCCGTCTCAGCGCCTTTGTGGGACTGTCAATTGTTGTGCTACAACAAGTGGGCCGAAATGGTGAATGCCAGAGACGTCCTCGGTGGCGATGTCCCTCAGGTAGTGGTTGGCAAACACCATGTCCCATTTCCAGAAGCAGCCCTCCATTATCGTCGTGATTGAGCAATTCCGATGTAGGGCGAGTGTTGACGCCAGAGCTCTAACTTCATGTGGGTTGGAGGCTCTTGGAGGATCAAGTCCTGCTGCTTTGTAGGCCCGTAGTATGACAGTTCTGATCCAGATTGATATCTTAGTGCGGAAGACCTCCGTCTGTGTCGCTGTCGATATCGGGACGAAAAGACGCTTGAATTTCCGTCTCCTGGACCTGGATCTTTGTAGGTAGATTTTCAATGCTCTCACTGGGCACAAGGATAGGTCCTGCGTATCCTGTGGTCCAAGGACTGATGATAGTGTTGGGACGTGGAACTGTCTGTCTGGATGACCTGGCAGTTGATTCTTTGCTATGAAGTCCCATCTCAGTCCCATATGCACGATGTTTTGATTTTCATCAAATCGTGGTCTCTCAAAGTCCAGAGCATGTATTTCCGACATCCTTGCTGCTATTGCTAAGGCGATCAGGAATAGCGTTGTTGGTCCTCCAATTTAAAAGGGCGTAGTAAGGCCAGTAACTCTGGTACTTTCGTCAGTTGCACTCGTCCTCATGGCGATAACTGAGCTCAATGCCGCTAGGTATGTTGAGAGTGTTGACCCTTTTAACCGCTTCGTTTGTCTAGGTGACAAAGGTAGTCCGCCACTTGAGGATGTGTCGCTTTCATGGCTGTGAAGCCGGTCCTCGAAGCGTATGTCTCGAAGTGTCGCCACTTGTCGTCGACAAGTTGCGTGTAGACTTGCGTAAAGCTAGTGTGACTGCTTTCGCTGCCCTGGCGGAATATCCTCTCTTGTTCAAGCATGCCTTGATACAGTCCACACGTGTAACCGGAACACCTCTGGGTTGCCGTGCGCCTGCTTTGTGTGAGGATGTACTAGTAGATTCGTCCACTCTGGTAGTTGCAGTTGAGGCAGTCCTAGTTCTTGTATGAGAATGGGGAACCATATTCTCGCTGGCCAGTAAGGCGTGACCAAAATCAGTTGTAGGTCCTTCGTCTGACTGATTTTCTGCAACACCCTCGGTATTAGAGCTGGTGGTGGAAATGCTGTAAGCGTTTAGTCCTTCCCAGGAGATGCTTAGAGCATCCGTTGCCCATGCTCGTGGATCTGGTGACAAATGTTATCAGTTGACCCTTGTGGCGAAGAGGTCTATTAGTGGTGCTCCCATCTCTTGTATGATCTGCTTGAAGATCTCTGGATGTAGCATCCATTCTGTTGAGGATGGCTGCGTTGGACGGGATAGTGCATCTGCTATCACATTCTTGGCTCCTGGAATGTGGCATGCTCTTATGTGGATGTTCAGGTTGTCTGTTATGCTGGCCAGTTGAAAGCAGAGGTCCAGAAGGTTCGCCGACCTTGTTGATCCTTCTGTGTATGTAGAACGCCACTGTGGAGTTGTCTGTATGTACCGTCAGATGAGCATTCTTCAAAATGCTGGTCCAGTGGAGTATGGCGTTTATCACTGCTTTCATTTCCAGCATGTTGATGTGCAGATCTTTCTCTTCTATGGTCCATATCCCAGCTGACACTTCGTTGTCGAGGTGTGCTCCCCAACCTTGGAGAGATGCGTCCACATAGAGATGCGTCTTGCACTCTGGCTCTGCTAAATAGGTGCTTCTGCGACCATCCGATCTCTGAGTCCACCATATTAGATATGGTTTTAGTCTGTCCGGGAGTCCGAAGGGGTCCGGATCGTCCAGTTGTACATTCACGAAGACCTGTAGTGGGCGTAGTTGTAGACTCCCTCTGCGTGTCATGTCCTGTGCTGATGTGAGAAGACCCAACAGACTCTGCCACTTCATAGTAATAACGGAGAGAGTAGTGCTTGTCCGACTCTGTGACTGCCATCGTTGTGAAGTCGATATAAAGTAGTCTGGCTGCCGTCACCCAAAGTCCGTCCAACGTATGTTGCTGCAATTCGTCTGATGAATTGTCTTCAATGTTGACAGGGAAGGTTTCTAACCCCGTGAAGGCAGCCAAATCACGTAGGTCCCGTCTAACTGGACTGTAATTGAGGCCTTCCTCTCTCGTTGACAGGTTGTTGTCACTTGTAACCCATTTCCTGACATGTGAACTACGTCCGACCTCTGCGCAGGGCGTTGTCTCTCATGGTCCAATCAAAATAAAGCATTTTGATTCCTTTGGCTTCCCGCGATGTGACGTCACCGGTGTAGCAGGAAAAAGGTCCTTGTAGAATCTAGTGCCGCCGTTGATATCTTATCACCACTCGGTCTTGTCCGTAGCCTTCCGGAGTTACACGAGTGACCACGTGTATCGAGGGTTGAATGGTAAACGCGCGAAATATTTCGCCGCGTAATACCGATGTAGGTAGGCTGTTTTCCTGGCTGCTGTGACTGTTACTTCAGTCCTGAAGATAATGCAGTCGCCCTTTTATACAGATGATCAGCTGAAATCTTCACGTCCTCAGTGCTGCTATTGTAGACTGCATACATCGATCTCAATGAAGCGTCGTAATTGTAGAGTTGATGCTGAACTTTGTTGTAAATTCTACCCAGGAAGTCGTTGATGATTTTGTAGTTTAATAGCCTTAGCAAGGCTGCTGCTGAACCACGCCAGTGTGAATATCTGCCAATCTGTACGGAAGTGAAGATCTCTATATGGCCATGAGTCTTCTGATGTAGATATATCAATCTATGTGAATCCAGTCCTGGATTCAGTCTGAAGGTCCGTGCCAGTGATGAATTCGGACAAGAGCACCCCTCTTGAACTGCATTACATGTCCCTCAGTCTTTGTGCCGGCGAAGATCTTTCCCTTCTAGGGTGACGCTAGGTCCAGTCCGCCATCGTGTCCTGGTTGAATATCCTTGAAGATCTGCGTAGCGATCTGCGTGGCGGTCTGCGTGGTGCGTCTGTATGGCGCCCTGTGTGTAGGTGATCGTCTTTTAGTCCGGGATTGCCTTCCTGGCAATGTATTCCTAAGTGGGGATTCCCCTAACGATCTGCGAGGCGTTGTTGATGTCCTTGATGTAGGTAGTCGGCGTGAAGGTCTTTTATTAGGCTCATCATCTGTTGACGGTCTCTGAAGATTGCGCCGTCCTGCGTGCAGGTTGCTGATGCCATGTAGTGTTCTGTTGAGAGTCTGAGTACTGCGACGTCTCTGCGTTGTAGATGGCCAGCGCGAATGCCTTCGCGCAGGCTCGTTGACGTCCTGTAGAGTTGTGTGCTGCATTCTCTTCCTTAGAGGGTGACGTCTGTATCAGGTCCACTGTTATGAGATCGTTAATTGTCCTTCGCTGGGGATCTGCGTGGAGACCTGCGTGGAGACCTGCGTGAAGACCTGCGTGAAGACCTGCGTGGAGGCCAGCGTGGAGATCTGCGTGGAGATCTGTCTGTTGAGCTGCATCTGTAGGGCGATCTGCATGGAGACCTGCGTGGAGGTGAGCGTCTCTTGGTTCGTGAATGCCTCGGTGAAGCCCTTGACGATCTGCAAGATGTTGATGACGTCCTTGAGGCTGCGTCCGAAGGCCTTCGTGCAGGCGTTCACGAAGGCTGTTCATCTGAGTCGTCATCTGAAGATGAGCGTGCCGTCCTGCGCAGATCTGCTCCTGGTTCTGGGTGTCGCTTCACTGGAGGGCCTCTCCGAAGTATCATCAGTGTTGGGTCCTTCGTGCAGGTCCAGGTCGTCTCTGCGGGTGATGACTTGAGCATGAGAGCCCTGTGGCTGTCCATCATGAGATGCTATTCTTTCGGGAAGCGCTTCTCCATCATCTCCATATCTGCTGAGAGAACTGCTGCATGAAGACCCTGGGTTGAACGTCTGCGATGATTGTAGAGCTGCCCTCTCTGCGTTGATAGCGATATCGTCCAGAGATCGCTCATCTGCCGCCCTCGGACTGCATGCTGTATCTCTGGGATGATCAGCAGCGGCTCATCATGAAGTCATCTCTCTTCCATCGGGACGATGTCGGCCGAAAGGTCCCTGTAGAGCTGCTAGATGTCTTAGGGGTGTGAGGCTTCATTCTGCGTAGAGGATGGCTTCTTCTTCTTCGTCTGCGTGGAGGGGTTGTCCAATGTAGAAGACCTCTTCTTCGAAGTAATGGCGGACAACATCCCACGCCCATCCTCCGAGGACACCTCCGGTAGGTCACTGGATGGAAGTAAGTCGTCTGACAGCTGTAGACAGCTCGTGAAGAACTCAGCCGGTTTATCCATGACTTGTAAAGTCGCCTGGATTGTCACCAGTACGCCCAAGTACAGAGAAATTTTATTTATTAATTTGAATTTCTGTTAAATGCTGATAAAGATTACATCGGTAGCTGGAAGTACATGTTGATGTGCAGCTAGGGCACAGTCAATGCGGGTCTGCAGCAGAGAACCTAAACCTACAATGAAAACAGGTTTTCATGAAATGAAAACAACTGAACAATCACGTATAAAAAAATGTAAATAAACAGTGAAAATACGAATAAATTTCAAACCATATTGTTGAAGGATACTCCCTAAACCCCCATAAAGGTAATTTATAGGGTAATAACTAAATAATCAAAGGATATAGTGCCGTATAGGAGACACAGGTGCTCTCCCAACCGTCCACTAGGGCAAAGAAGGAGAGAGTGAAGCATGGGAGTATGGTGGCGCCGCTTTCTCGCCAAAACGGCCAGACAGATAACTCTTGGTGAGTAGTGATTTTACGTGTTTTTTATTGAAGGGAGCTTCAATAGGAGATACAAGTGTTCCACTAACGTTCGCAAGAGGAAGGAGACAAGCAATAATACATGAGTCAGGATAAGGAAAAATATGTTCATTTTTCTATCTAGTATTAATGTGCCAAATATTTTTTCAGTTGTCCCTTAATTAATGACACACCGACTGTTTGAAATCACCCACCCTCTTTACAATGCCTTATGCTGAAATTAATTCAGCAAGCTAAAGGTTAATAGGCTATATCTATTATATATATTTTTCGAAAGCTAGATATTTTACCCTCATGATTTTTTAGTATGTTAGACTTTATATAATGAAACATTAGTGATAAAATATTAATGACTGCAAGGGTTGGCCTTAGTGTACACAGTCTTGAATAAGGTGAAATTTTTCGCTGAGGGTATGTCTCTGAAAAGCGGTCAGGTTACATAAGACTATGTGAAAAATACTACTACTTTAGTTAAAGTTTGTTTCCACTTAGAAGAGAGAGTACAGAATGTGAGATAGGAAAAGTTTATAAATTGATTTATTGTTTCAACTGATCAAATCATATGTCATGATTTCTTGACCAATTCCATTTAGAAAAAGACCATTACACTTTTGGACAACTTACCCCGATCATGCTGGAATAAAAAACAAAGTTTGTAATTAGAAATTTCATTTTTGACAAAAAGATAAAAGAGTAATCCCTTTGTAATTACATGCTTTATAATGTCACTATCAAATTTTGGCAACATTTCCTCTAAGTAAAGCAAGCAGTACGGAGGACCCATTGTATGTCGCCATCCATGTTAAGTAAAGCAAGCAGTACTGAGGACCCATTGTATGTCACCATCCACGTTAAGTAAAGCAAGCAGTACTGAGGACCCATTGTATGTCGCCATCCACGTTAAGTAAAGCAAGCAGTACTGGGGACCTGTTGTATGTCACCACCCACGTTAAGTAAAGCAAGCAGTACTGAGGACCCATTGTATGTCACCACCCACGTTAAGTAAAGCAAGCAGTACCGAGGACCCATTGTATGTCGCCATCCACGTTAAGTAAAGCAAGCAGTACTGGGGACCTGTTGTATGTCACCACCCACGTTAAGTAAAGCAAGCAGTACTGAGGACCCATTGTATGTCACCTACCACGTTAAGTAAAGCAAGCAGTACTGAGGACCCATTGTATGTCGCCATCCATGTTAAGTAAAGCAAGCAGTACTGGGGACCTGTTGTATGTCACCACCCACGTTAAGTAAAGCAAGCAGTACTGAGGACCCATTGTATGTCACCACCCACGTTAAGTAAAGCAAGCAGTACCGAGGACCCATTGTATGTCGCCATCCACGCTAAGTAAAAGCAAGCAGTACTGGGGACCTGTTGTATGTCACCATCCACGCTTAGTAAAGCAAGCAGTACTGAGGACCCATTGTATGTCACCTACCACGCGGCAAAAGCAAGCAGTACTGAGGACCCATTGTATGTCGCCATCCATGTTAAGTAAAGCAAGCAGTACTGGGGACCTGTTGTATGTCACCTACCACGTTAAGTAAAGCAAGCAGTACTGAGGACCCATTGTATGTCACCACCCACGTTAAGTAAAGCAAGCAGTACTGAGGACACGTTGTATGTCGCCACCCACGTTAAGTAAAGCAAGCACTACTGGGGACCTGTTGTATGTCGCCACCCATGTTAAGTAAAGCCAGCAGTACTGATGACACGTATGTCGCCACCCACGTTAAGTAAAGCCAGCAGTAGTGAGGACCCATTGTATGTCGCCATCCATGTTAAGTAAAGCAAGCACTACTGGGGACCCATTGTATGTCGCCACCTGTGTTAAGTAAAGCAAGGAGTACTGCGGACCTGTTGTATGTCGCCACGCACGTTAAGTAAAGCAAGCACTACTCGGGACCCATTGTATGTCGCCACCCACGTTAAGTAAAGCAAGCAGTACTGAGGACCTGTTGTATGTCGCCACCCACGTTAAGTAAAGCAAGCACTACTGGGGACCCATTGTATGTCGCCACCCGTGTTAAGTAAAGCAAGGAGTACTGCGGACCCATTGTATGTCGCCACCCGCGTTAAGTAAAGCAAGGAGTACTGAGGACACGTTGTATGTCGCCACCCGTGTTAAGTAAAGCAAGCAGTACTGCGGACCCATTGTATGTCGCCACCCACGTTAAGTAAAGCAAGCAGTACTGAGGACATGTTGTATGTAAAGACGGCAAAGCCACCCGCGTTAAGTAAAGCAAGGAGTACTGAGGACACGTTGTATGTCGCCACCCGTGTTAAGTAAAGCAAGCAGTACTGCGGACCCATTGTATGTCGCCACCCACATTAAGTAAAGCAAGCAGTACTGAGGACATGTTGTATGTCGCCACCCGCGTTAAGTAAAGCAAGGAGTACTGAGGACACGTTGTATGTCGCCACCCGTGTTAAGTAAAGCAAGCAGTACTGGGGACCTGTTTTTCACCACATTCCCAGGAAGCCAAGCAAGAAATACAGGGGACCTAATCTACACAACACCTAGGAAACCCAGCAGTGATTACTGGAGACCTGTTCTTCACCAACATCTCACAGGAAGACAAGCAATGAATACTGGAGACCTGTTCTTCACCAACATCTCACAGGGAGACAAGCAATGATTACTGGAGACCTGTTCTTCACCAACATCTCACAGAGAGACAAGCAATGAACACTGGAGACCTGTTCTTTACCAACATCTCACAGAGAGACAAGCAATGAACACTGGAGACCTGTTCTTCACCAACATCTCACAGAGAGACAAGCAATGAACACTGGAGACCTGTTCTTCACCAACATCCCCCAGGCAGGTAAGCAAGAAATACAGGGGACCTAATCTACACAACATGCAGGAAACACAGCAAGGATTACAGGAGTCCTCTTCTTCACCAATAACCCACATTTAGCCAAGCAATAATTACTGGAGACCTGTTCTTCACCAACATCTCACAGAGAGACAAGCAATGATTATTGGAGACCTGTTCTTCACCAATAACCCACATTTAGCCAAGCAATGATTACTGGAGACCTGTTCTTCACCAACATCCCCCAGGCAGGTAAGCAAGAAATACAGGGGACCTAATCTACACAACATGCAGGAAACACAGCAAGGATTACAGGAGTCCTGTTTTTCACCAATAACCCACATTTAGCCAAGCAATAATTACTGGAGACCTGTTCTTCACCAACATTCGCCAGGTAGCCAAGCAAGAACTGCAAGGCCCTAATCTAAGGGAGCCAAACCATGACATCTACTTGATAGCATATACACATAAACAAGTTTGTCTGAACTCACCGAGATAATAATCTTCTTTTTGTGGATGAAGTGTGGTTGGGCAGCGAGAGCAGCGATAGCAGCCTCTTTTCGGACATACTGCACAATGCCGGTTCCTGTGGACCTGAATTACAATATTAGGTGTCAGTTTTTTATTGCAGTCTGCAGTCTGTTAAAATCTGCATGCCACAAATATGCCAAAGGAAAAGACACATTTGGAAACTGTGTCCTTTAAAGATCATCCTATCTTATACATCTTCAAACCAAAAATAAATTTAACCCAAGATCTATTTTTATATAGTTATTTTTATGAAAATAAATGGTAAACGAACTGACAGAAAATGAAAGTCTATTTCATAATGGAAATGTTCAGCATCCTGATCCTAATATGGAGGGTGTAAGAGTGCGAAATACCACAAAACATGATAAATAAATAAAGGCTGAGCACCATTTTAAGTTTAGTTTACAGTAAGTTAGTTTTATGCAGCTTTTAGCAATATTCCAGCAATATCAGGGCACCGGACACCAGAAATGGGCTTCACACATTGTACCCATGTGGGGAGTCGAACCCGCTCTTCAGCATTACAAGGGGACACTTTCACCACTGGGCTATCCCACTTAGTTTACTAGACAAAATCTTATTAACTTAATCTCTACATATTTAACCGCCCCATTAAAAATGTTCAAATAATCACGTCTAGTGACTTTGTAACACAAATGTAAACATTTTATGAGCCAAGTCTGTTATCTCCAGCTTAGGCCAAAAAAAATAATATGTGTGTTTAGGCTAACATGAAATTATAAAACAGGGTCGGTAGGAAGGGTTTATCTTTTTATTTTCTTACATTTTTTTTGTTTAAATGCATTCACATATTTTTCATAAAATCACATATTCGTGTAATATCAGGCACCAGTTTTGAAAGAAAAGAGAGGAAACCAGTTTAAAATCTTAATAACTGAAGCAACAACACTTTCGAAATTCGACATTTATGAAAAACAAGAAGACAACGTCATCAATATCCCCCACAATGGCAAAACACTCTTCATGAATATGTCTATGAGTTATGATTATGTCAAATGTTTTGGTGTGTATATAGAAAAGTGGAAGGAGAGTATTGAAAGGTTTTAAAAGTTCTGCTCTAGAAAGGAGCACTATCACCAATTTCAGTCTATGTCAAACTTGTTTCCATACGCCAAAAATATTTAATTCAGAATACCAAAACTACCAAAAGGCACCAGTATACCACCAGACCAATCTATGTGCCAATTTTGGTGAAGCAATAATGAACGGTTTTAGAGTTCAGCTCCGGAAAAGAGCATTACCACCAATTTCAGTCTAAGTCAAACTTGTTGCCATGGAAACGCCAAAAATATTTTATTCAGAATTCCAAAACTACCAAAAGGCACCAGTACACCACCAGATCTATCCATGTGCCAAGTTTGGTGAAGAAATATTGAACAGTTTTAAAGTTCTGCTCCGGAAAAGACAAATGTGCACGGACGCACGCACGGACGGAGTCCATTTAAATACCCCCTGCAAAACGCGTTGCGTTGCGGGGGATAACAAGCCTAAGTAAGCACATATGCGACAAATGGTCGCCCCCAACATTGGGGAGTATATACTGTTGGAATAGCAAAATGTTTTGCCTTCTTTTAAAAAAACGAAAAAAAAAGTTTAGGGTCGGGAAGGTTTGTGATGGGATCGGTTGGGAAACCGTAAACACATTTATTTTTTTTGCCTTATTTGCCTGAAGTGATTGAACATGTTGTATGTACTTTTATTGTTTGTTGTTTCAGCAATATCCCAGCTATACCCAAGCGGTCTGTAAATAATCAAGTATGGACCAGACAATATAGTGATCAACAACATGAGCATCAATCTACGCAATTGGGATACAATGACATGTGTCAACCAAGTCAGCGAGAATGACCACCCGATTTGTCGCCTCTTACAACAAGCATGGGTTGCTGAAGACCAATTCTCACCTACAACTTTACAGGTCAAACTATTGTTGTGTCACCCCATGTGAAATGTTTCCAGTCAGCAATAGATATTAGGGTGTGACGATACAGAAATTACATGATACAATACGTATCGCGATATCTTGGAACGATACGATTCGATACGATGCGTATGACAATATGCTATCTTTAGTTATTTTCTTTAAGATAGTGTAGTTTGATAACAAGTAACAGTGTAAATTTTGACATAACCGTTAATTTCTAGTGAAAATTCACAATTTTTAGGTCAACGATACATATCACGATACGAAAAAAAGTATCGATATAGTTATTGTCAGAAAAAGTATCACGATTATTGACACTATGATATATCGTCACAGCTCTAATAGACATACAGTCATCCCTCGCCATAACGCGGGTCTTGGGGTCCATGGATGACCCCCAGCGTTATCAGACACCCACGTTTTAGTAACTATTACATAACGCGGAACAAAGGCCAAGTAAAATTGTATTTTCCATGGACATAACAAAACTGCTATTTCGTGTATTGTGCCCAGTCAAAACTATATCGTATCGTTGGAGGTGAAAAAACAAACTTTGTAAATGAAAATAGATGTATGTACTGGAAACTTGATATCAAACATCACTAGACATGATAATTCAATTGTTGTGCCTGATATGCTACCTGTTATTCAACTAAGCCGGAAATAGCATTCAGCTGTGCACAAATGTGTTTTGGTCCAATGTACCAGTGATTTAGTTAAAAACGATACGATAACATACCATCAAACAATTTCTATTCCATTCTCTGAATAATTTATATCTTTAGCAGTTATTTAAACAGACACATTATATATTGCTATCGTATTAGTACAACGCATGTTTTCTACGAACATATGTAACATAATAATTAACATAGGCTAAGCACTTTGGGTGACCTGGCTGGATACATTTACATAGGAGACAGTTTGACAAGTCATCGCTGACTTCCGGCGGTAACAACAAAATGTTGGCAATTAAAAGTCAAGTATGACTTCAATGAGTCAATAACGCGGGTCTTGGGGTCCATGGATGACGAGGCGGTAATCTGTTCATGATTGCTAAGAGTAATGTGAAATTGTGCTATCGCGGTAGGCATGAAAAACGGATCCTCACGAGTGTGGTAAGCGGAAGTTGTATGGAATGAGGTAATGCCATTTCACTCGCAGTTTCTCCGTTGTTACTGTAAACACTTTTAATGAATGAATATGGGATTGAATTTAATTAAACAAAATGTGTTTCCTGACATCATACGTTCTCGGATGGCAGTGTTTACCCGCGCAATAACGCAGTGTGTTGCATCACAGCAAACATTGTAAGTACTTGGCTGATGGCATGTCTTTATGATAAAGTTGTTTTTCGTAAGTTATTACAATGTTTCGCTGTTCGTCTGATTATTATTGACTCAACTTCCTGATGGCATGTTTTAAACATTGTATCTGAAAAACTATCAATATAAAGATAAGCCCAAAGTATAAACAACGCTGAGAAAACCCTGCATGTTTTAAGCATCTGAAAAACTATGGATAAGTACGATAAACACTGTTAATTGCAATCCGCAATGAATTTCACTTTGATGATGTGAAGATGTGTGATCGCTGGGCAACTTCCAGCAATATCATGATGGTGAACACAAGAAATGGGCTTCACACATTGAACCCATTTAGGGATTCAAACCCGTGTTTTAACCATTAGGTTACCCCATACACAGGGTGGAAGCGCTGTCCACGCGTAATGTGGAGTTGCCCCCAAAGCAACTCCATTTCCTTGCTTGACAGTGAAAGAAAAACATGTGGCGCAAGAGTAATGGTAAGTTTTCTCTCGCAGTTTCATTATTTTTCAACTATATCAGGTTTTGCCATTTGGCAGACGGGTCTAGAAATGTACAGATCTTTCTATAATAGCTTGACACCCTCTCTGTTTATTGCAATTGCGCATAAAGTGAGGGCACCCTCCTGAGTGTCGAAACAAGATCGTGGAAAATGATCGTTTCAAAACGAATTATGACAACCTCATCAGCAAACACGCCTTTTTGGGGGCTGTCAGTTCTTAGATATAGTTAGTTTAGGTCTTCATTCACAGTTTAGGCTTTAATGCGTCAGTGTTTTTTCAGTTATTGTCAAAAAATCAAACTGTACATTTTACATGGAGTTGTATTGCAACTGTCCACTGCGTTGAATGTTTACGTTGAAGTAACTGTCCATGTAGTTGCATGGATTTTAGAGCATGAACTGGTGAGATTCCACAGTTGTTGATACCCTTTTCCACAGACTTGGCAATGGAAACGGTAGTTGCTGTGATGGATCCCCTAAATGCTCACACTATCATGATTCGCGCCATGATTGAAATCGTGGTCTTAATTTAGGATAATCTTGGTGACACACACACACACATTTGTATTGCGCCAATATCCAGCTCAGCTGCTGAAAGGTGCTTTGTTTTTCCCTCAATCACTGGATGTCAATCTCAACGACATGTCGTATTATCAGTCTCAACCCCCTAGGGATCATACAACTCTTGCAGCCACTAGGCGCACCGAGTTAGTGTGGCTTTCCCATCCTTACGAGGTACCCATTCACAGCTGGGTCGACTGGGACACATAGTCACAGCACTTTGTCCAAGTTTACTGCACGTTACTGTACCCGCAACTAGGTGTTTGCACATATTCATGTGGCCACCATCTGGTCATATACCAACGGATTCGTGTGTTCGTTTAGTGCACAGGGTTGTGTAATGTACACTAGGGGTTGTGATAACACTGAAAGAGTCTGCACACAAAGCTGACTGCAAGGTTTTTACACCCGGTCACAAGTGGGCTCGATCCTGTCACTTCAAGCTCGCTGGATCACTAGCCTGGCGCTTTAGCCAGTTCGCCCACCACGCCCCATCTTGAGGTCAGTCATGGCAATAGTGTTGATCGTAGAAAAATTTTGGAGGGTTAAAAAAAATTCTACGATCAACACAGTTTATTGTCAATCATGATCATTGCATCAGATAGTATTGCATCATAACAAAGCAAACATATCGCATCTAATCGTGCTTAGAAATCGTAGTGGTCGGAATCACTCATGGACAAGACAAACACCATGCTATGTTGAGATGTGTAGTCATCTCCCACGATCTGTGATGCTCTGTCAGGTCCCATTGCTAACAACCTGACACGAATTTTCATCCTCATGGTCCGCCTATTGTGCTGCAATGCCTGGATGCCTCAGCCTCAATAGGTTGTGCAGAGCCACTGCCCCCTCCACTATGAGGAGACACCTGAATCTATTGGCCAGGATCAAGGGCTTTTTCCACCATTCCCCTCATTCTTGAGAGTACTCTCAAGACACTCCACACCTAAAGGCATACACAAGAGACCCATAGTTGTCTCCAGCCTCAATGTGCCTAAGTGTGACTGCCAGTTTCAGTCCAGGTGAAATTAAAGAGGTTGCCTGAAACTGGTGACTTCCCTATCGATTGCTAGGCCCACTCTATGCAAGACTTCATCGAAGAGCTGTGGTGTTAACTTTGTGTAGTTTGGGAACGCTACTGGATCCTCCAGCCTCAAATAGGTGTCTAGGAGGCTGGAGAACTGACCAAACTGTTAGTCCCTCTCCTCTATGACTATGAGCCATGGCCGCACCCAGGAGTGCCTGACTGCAGCTCTCCTGGCCCTTTGTGGTTGGAGTTGTAGCTGGTCTGGCTGCTGCTTGTCTTGTGTCATTTGGATTTCTGCTTTAACAACGGCCACTGACTTGTCCATATCGTTGGTGCCACCGGTGGGAACAAAGAAAGTCATTATTGTATTTGATTTCGCACATTGAACATTGGTTAGATGTCCCTTGGTTTTCAGATGCTTAGTGATGTGCTTTACCTAAGTGTGCAATACTAATATCTGAGTGATAGTATGAACAATGTACATACTTTGGAATAACCTGGGCCCCGTTTCACAAAGCTCTCGTACCGCTACAACTATCGTAAGTCATTGTTACAGTATAGTAAGTACACATGCTACGAGAAACGTTACGAGATTTTAGGCTTATGAGAGCTTTGTGAAACGGGGCGCAGGACTTGGTTATTCCTGGTGTAGATGTATATTTGTATATTTGTTAATACACTTCTGATCGTACATGATATTTTTTTATATTAAATCACTGTCAGGGTACAAACTGCAATGTGGGATAAGGAAAAATTGAGTTGCTTTTGGGGCAACTCCACATTTTGCGTGAACAGCGCTTCCACCCTGTGCCATAGCCCTTGTGAGAATAGTCTGCAGTGAAGCAGGACCCCTTGGTAAACCCAGGAGAGGCATGGGCATGGTATACAATGGGCGTTGTATGCACTGACCATGGATGAAAACTGTTGTCAATCTGGGACTGAGGTAAACCAGCTAGGCTTACATCTTCACATACAGATCTAAGATTTTCACATACAGACTGGTTTTAAAATGCATAAATGTCATCTCATTTGTTATTTGAATGTAGACAACATGCGCAATTTCAGAGTGACATTTCATGCACAGTCTCTTCCTAAGTTGTACTCACTTTCCTTCATCGTTATTGAATACATGAAACTTCTTCAGGTCCCCAAACTTGACGAAGTACTTGAACAGGTCATATGCTGTCGTCTTCAGCATCAGGTTGAAGACAAAAAATGTCCTTGGCCTATCAGCCGCATCAATCTACAGCAAATGAATGGATAGAAGTTGGATGAATACATGAATGGGTGGAAGGATTGTAAGCTTGTTTGTTGTTTAACACCGCACTCAGCAATATTCCAGAACCAGACAATCCAGTGATCGGCATAATGAGTATCGACGCAATTGGGATAAAATGACATGCGTCAACTAAGTCAGCAAGTCTGAGCACCCGATTCCATTAGTCGCCTCTTACAACAAGTATGGGTTGCTAAAGACCAATTCTAACCTGGATCTTCATGGGTTTATACTGGTAAGTAGACAAATGTGGTATGTAATGTATAAGAAACAAACGATATGGAAATAGTCGGAATCCCAACAATAACAGTATGAAAATGCGGAGTGTTCTTTTTTTGTTTCTTTTAGCAATAATCATGATAATCATGCAACGGCAGGTTCAACGACTCAGAAACAACACCATCCAACTTAACATGAAAACTCACCATGCCACACCTCCAGTCTGCAGCCTGACCTTGACCCTTGACAGGTAAACCTCTGCAACAAACATCAAGATTGAGTGAGTGAGTATGGTTTTACGCCACTTTGAGCAATATTCCAGCACGGCAGGGCACACCAGAAATAGGCTTCACACATTGTACCCATGTGGGGAATTGAACCCGGGACTTCGGCGTGTCGAGCGAACACTTTAACCACTAGGCTATCCCACCGCCCACATCAAGAATGAAGATGACATTGCCTGTTACATGTTCTGTAGTGGCTTGACACCACAGTAATATATATCACATGTAGAATATTACAGTTTCAGAATAAAACAGTATCTCCCACAAGAAAAAACGTAAGATAACACTGACCCTGTTTTACAACATGACCTCTTGGCATCGGGAACTCCAGTAAAATCTTCTTCTGAGTACTGTCCCGGCCGTTTAAAAGTCTCAACAGTGCCAGGCATGACTCGGGACATTGGCACTGATTGTGCCATGCTTGTCACAAGGGGATCTGTCTCAATCTTGCTGTACCGTCCATCAGGAGGGTTTCCAGGTGCCCGTGCCCTTCCTTCATCATAACCTCCTGGCCCCTGACCTTGGGGATAGCCTTGATAGGCCGACATGACAGTGCAGTGTCATATATCCTTGGGTGTCTGAAATGGTCAGATGATTCAACACTAACTTCTTTTATGTAAGGATTGTTGAGAGAGAGTATCAGTATACTTACTTGCCAGGTTCATTCTAGCCTGCACCATTCGTGCACTGAAAGTTTATATGGAGTACTCGAGAAATTAAACATAAATCTGAATGCATTACGAGTTTGTTTTCACATATGGACTCAAGCAAAACTCCAAACTTTAATTGCAAAAAAATTCACTACCTTCCCTCACTGAAGGGAATCATGTTGAGCACCCATAACTCAAGCTGTTTTAAGCAGCAGTGCGAAGCTTACAAATCTGTGTTATGAGAAAATCTGATACGCTTTGTAAAACTGATTCTGACTGGTCGTTTTTTTTGAGTGATCCAAATGCCAGTGTCAATCTTTTTTTCACGAGGAAGCAGAAACCTTCTTGTCATGATGAGGATACAGGGATCACAACCAACAACCACGACAACAAATTTAAATTCATTTTGAATTATTCTTAACTATTTAACAATTCTTGGTTTGGTTTCTCGTGTTCAAATTGTTGACCTTACCTGTATTTGAAGTCAAACATAGTAAGTGAACTCAGATTAGTAACTACTAAGTAATGTATGGCTAACAAGTCACACCAATTTGATATGATCCACACTATTTTCTAATGGCCCACATAACTGATTACAGGTGGGCCATAGGCCCACTTTTTATTAGAGCTAGAATGAACATTGTAGTTGTAGAAAATGTTGTAGTTCTTGTACAGTGAAGTTATTTACAAAATGATAACAGAACTGCTGAAAACAGAAACAAAGACAGGAAACAACTTAAAAGCTACATCTAGTTGTTATCTATGCTGCTCCCATTAAACAATTTTTAGATGTTTTGGTAATATGAAAATTCATGGAAAATGATCACAAACATATCTAGTATGTAGCAGATGACAACACAATGACCATGTGTTCATGAGATCAGTTCAACTCCATCATGTAACTATGCCAGCTGATTCATAATCTGAGAAGAATGGCAGTTATACCAGGCCAGCCTCCAAACCCAACTGTACATAGGCTGATCCAGAGGCGCGCTGCAGGGGTGCGCAACCCCCCTTTTGCCCTGAAAGTTTATTAAATGACCATTGAAACTCGGGTGAAAATGAAGTGTGCACCCCTCCTTTTCTCAATACTGTGCACCCCCACCTTTCTCAAAAAGCTGTATCCACCCCTGACTGTATCTATTGTAAGACCTCATCCATTCCAGAGGTCCAGATGAGCTGCGTATCCGGGTAAAATACGCATATATAATTTCCAATTACGCATTGAAAAATAATTGTTGCATACCAATTACGCATTTAAAATGTTAGATATGCAAAAAGTTTAAAACAAATGCATACGGAATATATTTATAAAAATCGCTTGCGTAATGAAAAAGACATCGATTGCTATCAAGCTGTACTGTTAGTATAGGACAAGTGTTTTACTGTCAGTATAGGATGAGTGATTTTTTATGAAATCATTTCCATTATATTTAAGTTGGTTTTGATTAGGTATAACATAAGGCAGATCATACCTGCTTAGTAAACTTACTCAGTCACATAATACTTAGGTGAGTAAAATGACTGAAATACGCACATATTTGAAAGCAGTGGGTAATGGAAAATGAAAAACCCACTCAACATTCATAATACCCACTCCAAAAAAAATACAGTGGGTACAGTACCCACATGAGCTAAATCTTATCTGGAGCTCTGCATTCATTGTTTAACGTGTTTAATATCAGCTGTAGTGTTTTCGAGATCGTGCCATGTTATTTCTAAAAAAACCATAATGGTCTGTTGGTTTCGATAAGGAATCCAAATCTGTAACCAACAGAAAAAGTAGAAGTACAGGGGTGGATACAGCTTTCTGAGAAAGGGAAGTTCATTTTCACCCGTTTTCATGAGAGTTCCAATGGTCATATAATAAACTTTCAGGAAAAAAGCGTGTGTGCACACACGCACGCACACACACACCTTTCTGGATCCGCCTATGAAGTAAGGGCAGAATTGAAATGGTCTAGTAGTAGTATTCCAGTTATATCACAACATATCAGCTTATCAAGGAGGCTGAACTGCTGAAGTGACCTGAAGGCGTTTACCATTTTGGCTAAACCCACCAACACTGCTACGGTGCTGACAAACCTACTTCAAGGCGAAAACAAATAAAAGATCAATGAATGAGGCAGAAACATAGTGTCCATATGTGTGTGTGTGTGTGTGTGTGTGCGCTCACGTGCGTGTATGCACGAGCGTGTGTACGTGCAGAAGTCTTTCTAGTCAGTCTTCAATCCCAATAATGATCAAAGGCTGGTTCAATCTATGCTATTGACAATGTAGGTACACCTAAAGAATACCGGATAACTATCAGCCATATTGTTTAGTGTCACGTCAGCCTATCCCTAAACCTTGCCATAAACCTAACCCTAAACCTTACCCTAACCCCAAGTAAACTCGCATGCTTTCAAAGATTGCGGAAGGTATCCGGTATTCTGTAATCTTACGGACAATGTATTGTGTCTCACAAGGCGTGTAACGCCAAGAAACCAGCATCAAGGAATATATTTCCACTGCCGGGGTGTTCATTTTACACAGAATCCCTGCAGTGACAATTATACCTTCATGCTAGTTCGTTCCTTTTTTCGTTAAAACCACCAATGCTGTGGATAAACAAACACTCTTTCTATATTCATGATTTTGCCTTCTTTCAAAACAAGACATTTTCGAAACATGAAACTGCTTGTGTTGCAAAAACAAGACATGGACAGTATGTCATCTATACTCATATCATTATGTACTGTCATCATCAACATGGCTTACCAAAACATGGACAAATCTCTCCATGAAATCCACGGATTTATGCTATCTGTCGACTTCGCGTTCGTATCGTGGTGGTTGCAGACCGGAAGTACTATATGCACGGCAAATGTTAAAGCTCCTGACACGGAAATGTAACTTTGCTGTGGAGGAGTTTCTGGTTCTCTTCTTGAAGGGTCAATTTCGAATTGACAGGAATAAAGGAGAATCAGACAGAAAAAAAATATTTCCAAAATTTGAACCGCATTCGGAAGAGAATGATAAAATAAACAATTTTTTCAAGCTTTGTAAGAATGCTGTTTGAATACTTAGAACGCACTTCGAACCCGCCTCGAATTATTCCTACTCATTCCAAATGTACTAGATCATGAATGCAGCTCGAATGAATCGGAATACAGTAGGAATAATTAGAATGCCGTTAGAATACACTAAGAATACTTAAAATGAATTTCGACTGCCGTACGAGTCCGGTTCGATTGCTGCGTGAATAGCACTCGGATTTCAGTTGGAAGTACCTCGAATGCTTTACGAATTTACTTAGAATGCATTCAGAACAGTCTTGGAATGACCCCCAAATATGGATAGAATGTTAAAGAATTAAAACAGAATGCAGCACGAATATTTCAAATGTCCCTCAAATGCACTTAGATTGTAACACGAATGTCCGAAATGCAACAAGAATGCTGCCGGAATGTTCCACGATGGGGTATAAAAACCTGTTGAATCTGGACTATTCATCAGTCACTGCCCAACTCCTATACAGTATGGACCCCCTGGACCATGTTGCGTTGCTCCAGATTGATGTCCTCCAGCAAGCCCTGATTGAAAGAGGTGTGGAGGAGACCAGGAGAAGAAACAAACAGGAGAAGACCCAGGAGATTCCAGACCAGACCATGGCTGACAGAGGAAAGGAGGAGGCTGTATGGACATTATACAAGACTGATGGAGGAGCTCAGAGTTGGGGACACGCAGTCACTCTTCAATAACCTTAGGATGGAGCCTGCCATGTCTGATGAGTTGGTGCAGAAAGTGGGACCAAGAATACAGAAGCATGGTACATATATGAGAAATGCGCTACCTCCAGGCTTGAAGCTAGCCATCACATTGATGTTCCTGGCTTGAGGTGATAGGTACCATAGCATCATGTACAGCGTCCGCGTGGCAAGGAACACAATCAGCCTGATCATCCCAGAAGTATGAAAGGTCATTGTGGAGGAATACAAGGATGTGGTTATCATCTGTCCTACCACTCCAGAATAATGGGCACCCATTGAAGATGTATTCAGAAACAGGTGGAATATTCCTCATGTCGTAGGAGTTTTAGATGGCAAGCATGTGGCCATAAGAGCGACATATTTTACCACAACTATAGTTTGGCATGAAATGCATGTGGACCCGTTTTTTTGTAAATATCTCTTCATCGAATGACCCAATCGATCTCAAACTGTGCAAGTGGATGTTTTGTCAGACAACCTAATCACATTGTAAACACCGATTTTATGCATTTGTATTAAAGAATCTGTCTATGTAACTGTCAACAAAATAAACAGCAGACCGCAGACTGCTTGCAGAGGGAGGGAGCCAATGACCTGTAACAGCGGCAGTGTTGGGCCAACGTCTGAATGCTATCTGGGATATGTTTACCATATTCGGAAACAGTAAGTCGCCTGGTTATACTCACGCAATTTTAGATTAATTTTAGACAGCGGAAGCATATTTTGATACAAAGATACTATGGAGGGTGGGGACGTTTGAAACGTCGGGTAATGTTTGTACCCGTGTCCTGAATAAAGTACCTACCCCTGAAGATCCGGGTTAGAATTGGTCTTCAACAACCCTAACTAAGATACACGCTATGTACTTTAGCTACAACACAAGAGGCGACTAACGGGATCGGGTGCTCAGGCTGCTGACTTGATTGACACATGTCATCGTATTTCAATTGCGATGCTCATGATGTTGATTACTGGACAGTCTGGTCCAGACTCGACCATTTACAGAACGCCGCCATATACGAGGGACGTTCAAAAGCAGTCAGCCTCACCAAGAAGATGATACAAATCCAGCTGTTTTTCAGTCTAAGTAAACTTAGGCTCAGTATTATTCGTTACACTGCTATACTGATCAGTTTACTAAACTTAGGCTCAGTATTATTCGTTATACTGATCAGTATAGCAGTGTAACGAATAATACTGAGCCTAAGTTTACTTAGACAGGCTGTTTTTTATGTTTTATTTTTCTACATGTTGTCTGTCAACCTCAAGCAAATTGGTTTTGCTATGTTTCAGCTTCACGATCCCCATTTTGTTTGACTTTTTACCTTGGTATCTCTGCAATGAATGCATCACAAACTTCAGGAAACAAAATATGCAAGAAGCATTTTTGTGTGTCTGAGATAGACAGAAGTCCGCTAGAAACAAAGTTAGTATATAGTCTTTGCACCTTATTTGCACTAGTAGTTATAGCAGTTAAATATCTCTGAAGAAAAAACCCAATATTTTTGTATTTTGCGTAACATTCTATTTCAATGCTAGTTAATTGTTAGGATAACAGCTAGTGGATCCTCTGTTCAAAGATTTTGCATCACAGGTTGCCTATTTCTGGAAGATGGGTCTGCTAGTAGGTGCAGACTGTATCTTGGATCTTCTTTGTGTTCTGGTGCTGTGACATACCTGTACATAAACGCTGGCAGTTCATGAAGTCCAGTATTGTGGAAGTTTGTATGTAAGTTAGGATTCCACAACAAACTACATACATTGTATAAGAAAATAAAATGGAAAGGGTGTTTTTTAAAAATGGATTTCCTTATATTCAGTGTCATTTTTAGGATGGTGTACAGATTTTGAAGAGGGAAACTTTACTGAGAATTGCTGCAGTTCAGCTGCTGAATATTTGCTTCTGGGCATGTCCAGAGTACATCCATGGAAAGATACTGTTTTCAAGCCTAATCACATTTTCCAGATCTCCAAATAAGTTCACTGAGTTGCGCACTGTGACTGATTTGTTTACATTAATTATATACAGACAAATAAGGTGCACAAAGTAGTAAACGGGAAATATCTTCTGCTTTTTATTTACCATTTATTTAATTCATTAAAACATAGACACCCATGTTTTCAGATTATTTAACTAAGTTTGAACAACGCCTAAGGATAAGTAAAGGCGCCACGCGCAACGTTGACAATCTATTTATAGATACCGAAATGATCTGCAACATGAACATGTGGATGTGTTCATGGTTTTTATAAAATTATGATGGGAATGTTTTGGGGAAAAAATCCAAGCAACAAAATTCAGTTACCCTTCCCCTGCTGATATCTTTGACAGAGGTGAATTGCTAGATATATTAATTGATTCGAAAGAAAATACGCTTCCTATTCTCAGCAGCTGGCCGAGACGATTTTTCATCGGGCATGTAACTTATTTTCACTCGCCAATTGCAATCTGCCAACTAAAATATATTAAAAATCACATACATACATGTACCTATAACTTGCCTCTTTAAATATCATTCACAAACGACGGATACCAAAGTACCACAAGCATAATACATCAACAACGTTCTCAATCACGTACGTTTCGCCGGCGGTGACGCCATTGTGATTAGTCAGTGGCTGTCCCCCCTAACGTCAAAAACGAAGTGGGCGGGGCTTATCTGCCGGGACTGGATCGGTCTATTAAAGCTTCGCATCCCTGCCATAAAGGCATTTAGTTTTTAGTACTAAATGTTCATACATGTATATATGACACTGGTTTAGTTTCCATCATATGGATAATAAATATCCATTGAAAAAAAGCGAAGAAAATGGATGTTTTTTAACCCCTAACATTTTCGGAAACATTTAACAGTGTCCACTTTTCAAAACGTAATTTCACTTGAATTTACCCTCATGGGATAGGAAATTTAACAGTCTACATATCTGTATAATGTCATAGTCGTAGGTAGATCCAGTGCCGAGAAACCCTCTATTGTTTAAACCAGGTTAGAATCTATTAAGGTTCATATAACGATACTTTGTGTTGATCTGTGGCGTGAGATTATGGCTGGATGTACTGCATGTATATTTGTGTTTCAAATTTTATAAAAAGTTTTCAACTTTAGTATCACTGTTTGTCCTTAATCACGTAGGTTTTGCAAAAGTTGTTCACATGTTCATGATCATTCGCCAATGTGAAATCCTTCCAGAGGGATTTGAGTTGGTATTCTAGGCTTTGTTTCTTGAATGATGTTCACATTACGGGGTGTAGAAGTACGTCTGTAAGAGGCATCATCCCATGACATTCAGTGAATAGATAGGTTATGTAGTTCACTTTCAACGAAAAGGTAAAAAGTAGTACTACTTCTTGGCTGGCATTCGCATCTTCACCTAATCTCCTTACTCTAACAACGGAATATACACTATTATCAATAGGAAAACGGTACAGCGTGGTGTCCAGAACAGAAATAGGCTCTGTAGCTCACCTTCATGCAAATGGTACCTGAGTGAAAATAAACAGGTGGTGTTTCTTGGAATTTCTTTTCTAACTTTGTTACGTGCAGTTGAGTTTCTTACTGCGTCAAGAAGAGGAAGGCGATCTCTGGTATACATGTATATGTGTGACACGTCCTTTGCGCGGAGTGATACTCTGGTCACGGTAACTGCAATGCAGAAGTTTCAACAGAGATGTTTACAGTTAGATTAAACATGAAAAGGTTATGTTCGAAATATAGAACGTAATACCAGTGTATTTGGACCTTATTTATTGAACAAAGATGTCGTGGTAGGACAGAAACGTGTTTGAAGTACCATGTCATATATATTTCAATACATAAAACAAGCATTGTCACTAAGGTGACATAATCCCCCGCCGCAAATTATCAAATCAAACTTAAAAAGTAATGAAAGTTTAAGATGAAGTTAAATGTCAACAAAAACATGACCAGTCAAATACACAAATATTTTCAAGACTGACTTTGACCTTGACATGGATGTCATAGTGTATGAAATATGCAAAAATGGTACTAAAGAAATTGCTTATTGAAAAACATTCAAGTCTTGAAAGTCTATGAAGAAAATCCAGTGAATTCAGGTTAACATGCTGAAATCTTCAAAG